TTATTCATCATATCATGAATTCAATGGAGAACTAGATTTAGTTCGAGTCCAAAAATTAAGTTAAATTTTGAAAGAGGAAAAAAAAAACAAAGAAAGAAAAGAAAGGGAACTTATGAGTTACTTTTCATAAAAATTCCAGGTACACAGTCACAGAAGATAAGAGTGATATGCCATTCGTCAAAGGGAGCATTAACAAGCTAAATTTTTGGACTAACCTTTTTTAAGACGTAGACAAAATAGTGAAATCCATCACCAAAAGTGTTCCATTCAAGAGACCATGTAAATTCTGGGGCATCAAAAAAAGGACGCCTGAAGTGTGGCTGTGAGAGATACACTACAAGTAAGAACATAGTAACAAGTTCCGAATAAAGAAAGAACATGGTAAGACGTAATTGCGAACCATAATATTTAAGATCTACTTCACAACCTGACCAAAAGAAATCGAGATGAAAACCCCATCTGGTTTCAAAACCCTATGGACACCCTTAAGCATCTGCATGACCTTAGTTACTGTTGCGGGCCTTGAATTCCACGGGTCGCCACTGTCCACGAACAAAACCTCCTTCAAAATCCAAAATAAGATATATGCACTCATCTCATTTGAAGGTGAAATTAAACTGCTGAAGAAATTATGAGAATAACACTTAATAATAACGAACGTAAACGGCAAACAATGGTGATCGAACAATTACCATGGTTCCTTTCTCAATAACAGCATCAAAAGACTCGTTGCTAAAAGGAAGGTCTAGCATGTCAGCTTCCAGAACTTTTATGTCTGATACCAGATGCATTCAAAAAGAAATTAGGTGATTACAGTCTAGATAAATGTTACATTTTACCGCAAGTTGAACATTGCTCCATGTTTTTTTTTTAAATCAGTTTCAAGTACAATGGGAAAGAACAATTTCAATGGAAAAACAAAGCAGCAGAGGCAACTTCTTGAAACAACCATTAACTTCAAAACAAAGCAACAAAGGCAATTTCTTGAAACAACCACTACTTTTGAAGTTATTCCATCCGATGCTCTCTATTTCTCAAATGTTGTAATGTATTAACACGTTTTTTTAGGAGAAATTTGCTAGAGTGACTATCTAACAAAGTGAGATTGGCAAAATGGCCTTCTTCATTTTTTTATGAAAAACGACCACCCAATCATTCTTTGTAAAAAGTGGTCATTCTTGGTCGTTCCATAGTCATTCTACAAATACAAATTTTTTTAAAAGTTATTTTACTAATAAAACTTTCCCATCGAGTCATTTTTACAAAGGCCTTAGTTTTTTAGTACATTTATATGCATAGCTAAATCCAATTTCTATTTAAACTTACAATGCAACAACTTGAACGCTCCAAATGCAAAGTAATGTAAATATACTACACGTGAAAATAGAATTGAATTATCAACCTGATCCTATTTCTTCAATTTAAACAAAAATACAAGCAAATATATGTATTTTTTCCTAAAAACCACTCTAATTCCTCTCATTAAGAACCTAAAAAGCCCAGATGGCATGAGCGCATAAAGAAATAAGCAACAAACAGTATAGGCATAAATACATCATCACACCTTTAAACCCCTTAGATAGCAATTGTTTCTTCTTATTCTCAACTGCAACAGCTGAGAGATCAATGCATGTTATTTTAGCAATCCCGTCTTTGTACAATTCTTCAGACAACTGTGAGTTCCCACAGCCTAGCTCCAAAACCTGCAGCGCTCTCAATTTTCATAAACCTGGAATTGCCAAAATAAGCTAAATTTTTCATTAAATGCAGAATAAATAGAAGAAAAGCTGATGAATATACCACTTCTATAGCAACATTGTCCATTGCATAACCAAGGGAAACCAAGAGCAGCAGATCATTCAGCCACAAAAATAAATAGGTATACCATAAGAACTTTTAGACTTCTAAGTTTTTTCAGACAAAGTCTTAACTCCGGCAGCCATATAATCCGATAAATGTAACTTTTTTAATATGTACATGTAACATCATTGTTTCATAAGTGCAACATTTTTTGCACGTGTAACACTCAGTGTTACATATATTGAACTATATTTATTGAATGTTACATTGAAGAAAACCGAGTGTTAACAATGTTATACGGGCATAAAAAAAATTAAATGTGCCTGATCGATTCAGGTGCCGGACTTAAAAGACAATTCCAATATGTATATATATTCTGCTGTATACTTATCAAGGACACTTAAAAAGCTCATTTAGTTCGTTGATTGGAGTTTTTAATTTAAGTTGAGATGTGACTTTATTTAAAAACCTTTTACTGTAGCAAAAAAGTTGGATGTGATTATTTCTAAAAGCTTTTTACTGTATCAAAACTCGAATCGGTAAAATAACGCCCTTGAATCGGTGATATAAACGGGCGTTATTCTGTTTAAACAATAATTCGCAAACGACTTAAGCCTTTGCCTAAAAAAATTTATCTAACTTCTAAAAGCACATATTGTCTTCCCAATATTCACAAGTACCCGCATCGTTTAGCTGCTAAACAGAATTATAAGTAAAAATGGAACAAAAACCATATGAAATGGGAAATCCAAATCCAAATATATAAAAAGAGTGGAAGTTGTTGCAGAAGTACAGAAAAACTGGGATTGAGATGGGGTTGAACCAGGTGCCGAAATTGAGAATAGTCCTTGAGCCACTCGTAGTGCTCTTCATTAGAAAAACGTTTATCCCTGAAAATGCCACAACAAGATTATACAAAACAGATACATATATACATATATCCATACATATATATATGTGCGTATATGTGTGTATAGAATTGCCAGTTATATGTGTGTATAGAATTACCAGTAATTAGGATCACGGTAAGCCGAAACAGAGGATGGGAGAACGCATTTTTGAAGTCTGTCCTTCTGATTTTGATTCGTTTCCATTGTTACAGAATTGTCGAGTCTGAATCAAATTGGATGTGACTGAGAAACCCTAAAGCCTAAACCCTCCCCGAATTTGGGTTTAATCTTGTTCAAGTAAGACGATCAAAATGTCGTTTTTGTTTACATGAAAAAAATTCCAAACTGTGAACGGCATGCCGTGTTAAATCTTGAACGATAGTACGTTAAGACTTGGGCGAGAGAGGGTCATGAAATGTTAATTTTTTGACATAAACCCTGCCGTTTTTAATTAAAGGATGAAGATGAATGTCGTTTTGAAGGTAAACGACAACAAAACCAAGCTATTAAGGACAATACGTTATTGTTTCTTCCCTGACGACAGTTCAATTAGACCGCAAGAGAGGTGTCGTTTTTCCTTCAATATATATCTTAGTTTTTTTTTTTTTTTTTTTTGGAAAAATCTTGGGCGTTCACTTCATAGATCACACTCGAATAAGTTCAATTCGAGGGTAAAATTAGGTTGAGTTATGCGTTCACTAAACGCAACTCGAATTTCAAACTCGAGTAATAACTCGAGTTGGTGAGTTTCACTTACTACTTGTTTTTTCATTACTCAAGTTTGGTTATGCAGTGCGAATTGTCTCTGCAGAAAATGACACTTATTTTATAATTAGAGTTTGACTTTAGTACAAGTGAATACAAAACTCAAGTTTTAAATGTCAAATCAATCTCCTCTTAAACACTTTACTCAAAGTCCAAACTAAATTCAATTTTTTTGCAACTCAAATCCACTTTTTTAACTCAAATTAATAAATTTGAGTTAGTGAAGTAAATGCGCCCTTAGTTCATTTCAACCGTTGAAATAATATTTCAACGGTCTGATTTATGTGTGTTTCATAAAAAATTTGCATCGCATGACACAAAATCGTTATATTAACAGATGATTCTGTTAAAATTTTAATTTAATAGTTAAGACAACAGTACTTATTGATAGTTAAAAAGACAAATTCTATCTTAAAAATTCCCTAAAAATAATTCAAAACTCCTCATAAACATAATTATGTACAAAATATAACTTTTCCTTATAGCCAGTGTGCTTTTTAAATGCGCTATATAGGACTTTAATGGAAAAATAATAGAATTCCTTCGAGATGAGTAACAAATCATTAAAAATCCAATAGAAAAGACAAACACTATATTCGAATCTACGGACTTAAACTATACAACAAATGAATAAAAAAATAACTATTAAAAAAATTATGTTTTCATAGTCATATTTATATTAAAAATTATCTCTTCTATATAATTTTTTAATGTAATATAATTTTAATAAAATTTAACCGTTAAAAACTAATTCTATGAGTAAAAATTTATATTGGAAAAATATCCTAGAAATAAACATAAAACAATATTGTCATAAACACCTAAGATGACAAGATCCGTCCTTGCAATGTCAGGTCTCAGGATTGTGTTGGTAGCCTCGAGTACAACTATAGATCCTTTTTTTTTTATAGAGTTTCTACAATATTTTTTTCTTTTTTAGAAATATTCATGTTTCTTATTTTTTTAACTGTTAGTCATATTAGATTAAAAAAATATGTAGATTAAATAAATTTTATATAGATTTAACAGTTAAAAAATAAAAAATATCGGTGTTCTTAAAAAAGAGAACACCATAGAAAGTTTATTTTTTTAATTCTTCTTTTTTTTTTCTTTTTTTTTTTGTTGCTAATTTTACCAATTTACAAACACTATAAAGATGTGTGTGTATATATATATATATAATATACATTGCTAAGAAGAGTAAAGGCGGTTCTTTCATGGCATGAAACAAAATATTTTGTGAAATGCAAATTAGAAGGTTGCTTATGGAGGACGACGGTGTTCATCATATGAGTTTGTATGGATTATGGCTCCGTTTCCCATCTATTCCAACAACTTTGACTTGTAATTAAATGCACTAGTAACTAGTTTTACACTTGGGGCTCAATGGTCTTTTTGTTGCCACTATTTATCCATAATGGTCAAAAGACAAAATAGAAATATTAAATCGGCAAGATAATAGATTCTTCAAAGTCAAATGAGAGAGAGATCTTCTTTGTCAATTCCTGCTTTTTTCTCTGTTTTGACCTATTCATGTTTGTCCGAGCTGCATGTACTTTTTTTTTTTTTTTTCCTTCAAACTCGGTGTACTTTCTTTCTATTGCTTTCTTCATCCTTCCCCTGTTTCTCATTTATTTCATTTTAATTTTTTTGCTACTAATTTTCCTCCGTTTCATGATTGTAAATTTGCTATGCTTTGCTTCCAATTTTAAGGATTTGATCAATTAATTGCTTATCCAGCTATCCTTTGCATGATCATAACTTCTTTTTAGCCAGCCTCCAAAAAGGAAAAAGGATGGATAAAACTTTTGTACGGTTCCTTGACAAATTCAATAAAGTGAGACACCAGAGAAGTGAGAGAGTTGCCAAATGTAATACATAACTCGACCAGAAAAATGCATTAATTGAATTCCGAAGAAATCATATCATTTCTACAAAGAAAGAAAAAGGATTAATTATTTTCACACCATCCTTTTCTCTCTCTCCCTTTTTATCTGTAGGGTTTCTTTCTTTTTTTTTATGCACGGTTTATTTTTCTTTTTTAAGGTTATAGTCCGATCTCACCTCTTAATTTGTCGTCAGATTTCTAAATTTAAAGACAGAGTTCTAAATCTCATGACAATGATTATAGTATTAGTGGCGACTTCATGGAAAGAAGAGATATGAGGTGCTAGTTTTTTGATCGACCATGTTGTGCATGTCAAATCTCTTGCGTATTATGCGTGGATGAGCTCTCAACGTTGGTGGTGGAGTCATATGGGTCCTTGCTGATCTATTCTTTATGATCTAGTCGTCGTCTCATCCTAAGGATCTTGTATGTGTAGCTGAGGAATTTTATCTTGTTTTTTATTTATATTTTGATGTAATAAAGGTGATGTAGATTCTACCATTTCAGTTTTATATTTTTGTCATGTAATAACAAAAGTTGTCATCTCACATTTTCTATGGTGGTGATAGGTTTATCCCATTAGGTTTGATCATATGCGATATTGTGAGTGATCCTAGTGTTCTAAGTCTTTTGATCTCGGTCTACTAGTTTTATCCAATTGTTGTAGTGGTTTTGTTAAACGGACTTTTGTTGCGCTCGATTGTTAATGTGTCGAGCGTGTCTTTTCTCATTAGAAATCAACACTCGTATTCGTCTTTATGCCTCATTTATCTTTACTGGTGGATCCAGTTTTTATCCGTGGTAGAATATCCTTGTATTTGGTGATCATTTTTTTACTATTTTAGAGTTTATATTGACTTAATTATTAAATAAAATTTCTCCATTTAAAAAATACATTAGTTTTTTTAAAAAAGAAAATTACATCTTTTTCTTATAATTTGATTGGGAGTCTTTACACTGGAGCAAGCTATTTTGTTTCACCAGTCGGAACTGTGTTTTCACCGTTTGATTAGTTTTTCAACGGTCAGATCTGCAGAGGAGCAATTCTGTGCAGTGTGCTGTAAATTTTTAATACGAACTTGTACAAATTTAACCGTTAAAAAAATAATCTCATCAATGAAATAAAATAGCTTGCTTCACCGTAAAGATTCCTAATTTAATTATAGATTATTATCAATGCAGCTCATACTTTCATCGCTCAACAATAATGTTCTTTTATAACTATATACTAGACTAGATAGGAGCCTTCAATTGTATTACCCCTAATGATAGCACATGTTTTTTTAGCATTATATTAATTACAATTTTAATTGGAAAAGTTTGTAAAATTAACAAAATATGGCACAAACTTTTGTTTCAAAACGGAGTTCTACCCCATCATTTAATTAATCATAAAAAAAAATTAAGGGCCTACTTGGTTGAGAGTTTGATCGTGGTTCAATTAGTTTTGTTATAATATTTTCTCATAAAAATTTAAATTTTAATTCAAACAATTTAATTTAAACCCGTAAACAAAATAGGAATCCTTTACGAGCCTTCGAGAAGGAAAAATATGGAGAAAACTTTGTGTGCGTGGTTCCTTGACATTTGACAAAATCGGCAAAATCAATATATGACGACACATTTGCTTGATTGCTTGACCAGAAAAATGAATAAAAACGTGGGCCACCAAAAAAAAGAAGGTTTTTAGTTTTAGTTTATGGTGGCAGTAGTTCAGAAACGCTAAAAATTGAGGAGGAATTGACTGATTGTGAAATGGTCTTTTATATTTTGTTAGAAAGGCCTCACGTTCAGCTACCTCAGTAGTTGATATTCTGAAGAGTCGTAGAAAGCCTGCTTAGAGAGGGAGAGAGAGAGAGAGATCAGAGATTAGACAATATTTTGGTCTCTAGAACCCACCAATTTCGCCTGCGTTGGCGTCTTACCATTTTTTAATTTCCCACACAAAGCGTCAATTTTTTTTTTTTTTTTAAATATTCAATTCTTGGCTAGTTGAGTTTAAGAGCCCATTTAGTTCATAAATTAGAACCTTGAGATTAGAATTATTTTCGATTTGTGAGTGTTTTTTGTGAGAAAAAATACTGTAGCGAACAATGAATCATGATTCGAATCAGAGAATGAATCTTCCAACCAAACGGGCTCTAAAGTTTTGTTGTACCTCTAAACTGGTTGAGGTACAACAAGTTTAAAGAATTGCCACTGTTTTAAATTTATAACTCTCATGTTGTTTTTAAAATTTAGAAGGTAAATTGTTAAAATGATCATAATTTAAGAGAATTTTAAAAATTAATTTTAATATATTTATTTTAAAAATTAAAATTATATATATTTTTTATTTTAATATAATTTTAACTAGATTAAATGATAAGAATTTAAATGCATAAACGTCAAGGTTGAGAGATTGCTTATAATTAAAAAATCTTATAATTAAAAAAAAAGTCGCAGAGTGATTAACGTGGCTTATCTTTAATTAAAAATATAATAAAAAGGATAATGATAATTGCAAAACCAGCCATTCCAACAACCAACGTGAGACTGGAATCCCAACAACGACATTTTGAATGTGATCCTTATGTTCGTTAAGTGCCAAAAACAAGTTTGGTCAAAACAATACAAAAATAAACAACACAAAAAGTAAAAGAAAAAAAAAACACACCAAAAAAAAAATGGCACACAATTACCTCGCACTTTCGTCCACGCTTGGGATAAAATACGCACCACTACCTAGTCTAGCCTCCGTCCACCATTCTCTGCTATCGTGCGCACCTCCTCCCATGGCGATCGCCTTCCAGCTCTGCCGCATCCCCACCCGCACTGACCTTTTCCTTCCGGAGACCTTCTCTCTCCGGTGCCGGAAACCTCTCTCCGTCAGATGCTCCGGCGATTCCTCCTCCGCCTCTTCTCCCTTCGTCGCCGTCGAGTCCGACTTCGACGCCAAGGTTTTCCGGAAGAACTTGACGCGAAGCAAGAACTACAACCGCAAAGGCTTCGGCCACAAGGAGGAGACTCTCGAGCTCATGAACCGCGAGTACACCAGTAATTTACTCGCTCAAGCCTTTTTTTTTTTTTTCCTTTTTCTTGTCGAGGATTTTCTTCGGTTCTTCTTATTTGGTTGTTTGTTGATTGTTTGGATTTTTCTCAGGTGATATTATCAAGACTTTGAAGGAGAACGGGAACGAGTACACCTGGGGAAACGTGACGGTGAAGTTGGCCGAATCGTACGGATTCTGCTGGGGCGTCGAGCGCGCTGTGCAGATCGCCTACGAGGCGAGAAAGCAGTTTCCCGATGAGAAAATCTGGATCACTAACGAAATTATCCACAATCCCACCGTCAACAAGGTTTTAATTTTTGTGCTTTGAAATTTCACTCAAAGTCTGTTTCTGATTGTCTGAACAAAATTCTGAATTATCCACAATCCAACGGCTAATAAGGTTTTAGTTTTCCACTTGAAATTTCACTCAAATTTTGTTTCCGATTGTCTAAACAAAACGCTAAATTATCTACAATTCAACCGTCAAAAGGTTTTAATCTTACGCTTTGAAATTTCACTGTTTCTGATTTTCTGAACAAAATTGTGAATTTTGTTGGGCGTATTTTGGCAGAGGTTAGAGGAGATGAAAGTGGAGAATATTCCGATTGAGGAAGGGAATAAGCAGTTCGAGGTTGTGGACAAAGGTGATGTTGTGATTTTGCCTGCGTTTGGAGCTGCCGTGGACGAGATGTTGACTTTGAGTGATAAAAACGTACAAATTGTTGATACTACTTGTCCTTGGGTTTCAAAGGTAAACTGAATTTTGCCTCTTCAATTAATTATAATTGTCTTTGTTTGTTAAGCCTAAAAACCTGAAAATTTTGTTAAATTGATTGGTGGTTTTGGGTTTGTGAAGGTGTGGAATACCGTTGAGAAGCACAAGAAAGGGGATTACACTTCTATTATTCATGGGAAATATTCCCATGAAGAGACCATAGCAACTGCTTCTTTTGCTGGAACTTATATTATTGTGAAGAACATGCAAGAGGTGGGCATGGGTTTTTTTATTTATTTTTTATTTTTTATAGCTTAGATGTTGTGGTTCCTTTGGCGAAAATATATGCTTTCTTTGTCTTGATTCAGGCGACCTATGTGTGTGATTATATTCTTGGCGGTGCGCTTGATGGATCTAGCTCAACTAGAGCGGCGTTTCTGGAGGTTTGATCATTGCCGTTGCTTTGTTTAATATACTTTTCTTGAACAACTTATAGGAAAATATACGTGGGTTTAGTGATTGTTACTGGATTTGCCTGCAGAAATTTAAGTATGCAGTTTCTGACGGGTTTGATCCCGATAAGGACCTCGTGAAGGTTGGCATTGCAAATCAGACTACCATGCTTAAGGGAGAAACTGAAGAGATTGGTTAGTTTTTGTTGGTTATGCTATCATCTTACAAGGAACCGCTGCCATTTTTGTCGAATGTTGCTCAAGTATTCTTGTTTTACTATTTGCAGGGAAATTGGCTGAGAGGACTCTGATGCAGAAATACGGAGTGGAAAATGTCAATGACCATTTCGTAAGCTTCAACACAATTTGCGATGCAACTCAGGTAACTCCCTCTTCTTTTAATATATCCTGGTCTGGTTATTTGCAAGATTGCCCAAGGAAAGAACATTCCACAGCGCCAAATGCAGCAACTACACACCTGCACATCCTTTGAAGCTAATTCGGTTTTCTGCTTAACCCCAAATTGCTAGCCAGAATGGTTATGTTGAGGATTCACGAATCTTCAGTGAGATTCAAAGTAATTTATACGTTTCTTTTTCAGGAGCGTCAAGATGCAATGTACAAGCTGGTAGAGGATGATCTAGACCTTATTCTAGTTGTTGGTGGTTGGAACTCGAGCAACACGTCTCATCTACAAGAGATTGCTGAGGAGCGGGGAATACCCTCGTATTGGATTGACAGTGAGCAGAGAATAGGTCCTGGGAACAGAATAGCATACAAGCTTAATGTAAGTTTGGACTGATAAGAGTCACGCTGCAATCAGTTCTACAACCATACCAATTTACATTATGTTCTTATCTTTGTTTCCTTGTGATTTTTTTGATAGCATGGAGAATTGGTTGAGAAAGAGAATTGGTTGCCTAAGGGTCCCCTCATGATTGGTATAACATCGGGTGCTTCTACTCCAGATAAGGTAAATTTCTCCCTTTGTTTATTTCGAGGGTTCTGGCCTGGTTTAGGATCATGGTTATTGGTTCGCTATAGTATTTTTCTCTAAAAAAAAAATTAAATTTCAAAAATTAGAATTATGAACCATGATTCTGAACCCATGAATCAAACGTTAGTAGTTTGAACTTCGAATTGGATAACAGTGTTTTTTTTGTGTGCAAGCTATGAGAAACTGCATTCTATATCAAACTGAATTCTTAGTTAGTTCTCTTAACAATGATTTTGATCCATGCCCGTTTGGACTCTTTTAACTAGGCTGTTGAAGATGTTCTCATCAAGGTGTTCGACCTCAAACGCGAAGAAGCGTTGCAACTAGCGTAATGTAAGATAGGTTTATGTTTATACTTCACCGTTGTACTGAGCTTATGTTATAGAGCTTCATTGTTGTATAATTAAGATATGAAAGGCTATGCTGGAAGAAGCGTTGCAACTAGCGTAATGTAAGATAGGTTTATGTTTATACTTCCCCGTTGTACTGAGCTTATGTTATAGAGCTTCATTGTTGTATAATTAAGATATGAAAGGCTATGCTGTATCTTTGTAGAAAAAGCTCCATGTACCCCAAAATTACTTGCATTGCCGTATAGTAATAGAGGGTTTTTTTTTTTTATTGCTCAAAAGATCAAGTTCTTTGACCATAAGAGGTGCCGTAGACTGCAAACAGCAGCCAGACTGGACCTTATTATTGACACAATTATAAAATTGATGCCTTTTGAAAACGTCAAAAAGGGTGGAAGCACTCATGAAGAATATATTGCATTGTATTCAATTATATTGTTGAATGTTCCTAAAAAAATAAAAATAAAAATAAAAAACATTTGTATTATTTATTGTATTACAGAAGTAAGTGAGGTTACAGCTGGTGATAAAGAAGTATTATATGTTATCAACCATGACATAAATACCCAAAATTTTCCTATACATTCAGAAAAGTAAATCAACCACTAATCGTAAATCTTCTCATTTCTGCTTTCATGAGTTGGGAAAGTGCCTTTTGCTTATTGCTGAACTGCACAATCAAATTGAATTGTTGACGTTCTTTGCGTTTTTACCTCAAAAACTTGAATGTGGTAGCTAGTATCCAACAGAAAGTGCTCTTTTGTTGCATGTGAAATAACTCCCAAGCTTGGTGCTAAGCTACTGAATTACTTGGAAGAAGACGATTCAACTATTTCTGGAAGCTGATCGAGCAAGCGATTCATCTCGTCCGGAAATTCGGCTTTCGCTCGATTAGTCTTTGCTCCAACAACCACTGCTGTTCCATCTTGAAAGGCCCATATCTTTTGATGAGCAGAGAAGAAAAGAAGGAACATAAGAACACAATTGATAATTTATTTCATTAAAGGACTCAACAATGGCAAAACAAGCACTACTTAAATTGGTAACGGCAATACTAACAATTTATTCATGTTGAAAACCGTCTCCACAGTTCATTAGAATTTAATTCTCATAAAGTTGGAATTATTATTCGGGGTTTTTTCTAACACACTATACCCCAAAACTGCTTGTAGTCCAGCACTTTCGTCTATGATCTTTTTTCTTCTTAGCAATTTAGTCCTAATATTTACAATATCTATTATTAACATTGATGCTCCTTAAATTTTAAAGTCATTCTCAGTTTGTTCTCTGAACTTTAAAAACTCTCATTTTACCCCATGAATTTTAAATTGTTTTCACTTAACCCCTTCTGTAGCAGTTTATGTTAAAAATAGAACGAAAAAAAGAGAATAACACAGTCACGTGGTCTTTTTATTTGGATTTATGTTAAAAAGAAACATAAAAACCAAATGATCACACTTAATTCCCTCTTTTTTCTTTTGATTTTAACAGAAATTGCAACAAAAGAGATTAAGTGAGAACAATTCAAAGTTCAGGGACGAAATGAGAGTTTTTAAAGTTCAGAAGGTAAACTGGAAATGACACTAAAATTCAGGGACACCAGTGGGAACAATCCTTACAACATAGTAGAAATTAAGGGAGTTAACTCCAATTTGTTTATCAAGGTTAACGTCATGCGAAGTTTGGCATTTTAGTCCCTCAAAAATAGTTGTTATTATTATTATTATCATTTTGGTAATTTAGTTCCGAAATTGGTCCTAGAATTCCCTAAAAGTTAACTCCCATTAACCGTTGGAGTAGTAGCTACCATCCAGAGACTTCCCAAGAAAACAAAGGTCAGGGACTAAATTTCCAAAACACAAAACGTTCAAGGGCCACAAGTGCTAAAGAGCCTTATTGTTCCGAATTACAACTACTACTGTTTTTCTATTAAATGATATTCTCAATCCTAATGCGTTGTTAAATTTGAAATAAGGTACAAAGATCAGTTTCTAAACAACAACAAAAGGTGCATTCAGTGATCACTATATAAAGTCTGGCATAACTTTTAAAGCATATAGAAATTTAAAGCTGAAACACAGAATAAAAACTCACCTGTGCATGAGACAAATAGCTGATGCAAGTGGTGAGCATCAAAGCACCAAATCCAGCATATACAATTGGCACTCCCGGGTCAGTCTAGCAAAGAACAAAATGTTATTAGAAGTGAATACAAAGAACCGGAGATTTTCACATTGTGTAGTATAATAACTTGTTTTTAGCGTTTACTTTCAAGTCAAGGCCACTGCTTCCTATTGCATCTTCAATAACAATATTAGTTCCATTAATCTCGATTGGTAGTTTAGAGTTTGGTCGCCGGATCCCAACAAATTTTCCTTCTTGATCGTACAAGACGATGGATTGTAGATCACGAGCAAGCATTGATCTGTTTACGAACAAAGGAGTGGGTAGAACAGAGAAATGGTTAGTTTCATTACTTACAGTAAAACTGAAGCTTCAGTTTATCTTTTTTCCCCGTTACTTACAATACGAGACCTTTTACAGCTTATTCATATGGCAACAAGACTTGCATAACTCTCTCAGTTTCACTGCATTGAGTGGTTTATAGGATGTCGTTGTTGGAACTTGAGAGAAACCTCTCAAAGTAGGGGAAAAAGATCCTGATTTTATTCCTTGATATCTTTGTTACCAGCATTTAAAGAGGTATTCGAATCAAAGTTGCAGTAAAGAAGAAAGAGCAGCGAGAAGAGCACATACATTCCTTTGACGTTAGGAGAATTCACATCTCCAATTGGCAAGAAGGTCCCAAAAAGCTTCTTGTCCCCATTTATCTTAAGAGGTGCCATGGCCAAGTTAAATGGCCCTTCATTATCCTTAAGTATTTGCAGTGCTGAAAAACTCCAATCAGTCTGGTATATAGTAATCCCGCCATACCTTAAGGGGTCATTTACACTTATTGTTTTCCTCAGCACCTCCTTACCGTTAAGGTCGTATAACGAAAGGTCAGTGTGAAACTGGGACACCTATTGCATAAAACGGAGGGGGGAGTTAGGTAAAAACATCTACTTCTTTAGCTGCGATAAGCAAGTAACTATAAGCCTTTTTAGACATTCCCAAATGAAAAGGAAGAAAGGATAAAACATGCAGGCGTTAAACTGTTAGAAGCAAAGGATTCTAAAGATGTGATCATAAATATTCTAGACAGGCACGTCATTTCATAACAATAAACATTTACCAGTGAAAAGATGAGAATATGCTGCCACGTAAGTTGGTACAAAAAAAGTCAAGATTAGAGTTGGTGTCCCTAGTACTATTCATGCATAAATGATCAATTGCAGACATTCTGATGACAGCTTTGCAGAGTACAATATCACAGCAACCAAACTAATGCTTATAAAAAATCAACTGTCTATGGCACCTTTCACATCAGAAAGTCCATGATAAGAGCAAGTATAGCTGATAGAGAGACATTAAAATCTACCTCCCCACTATCATAGTAATCCATGTAGAATCTGTTGACATGAACTTCTGTGTTAAAAGCTTCGGTAGGAGCAGAGAGAAAACCAGTTGGGCCTAATACATCTCCAACGACAAAATTCAGCCCCTGCGGCACTGTGACTGAACCTCTGAAGCTCCCTGTGGCACTAAGAGTTCCACCTGCCATTATGAGCAGCATTGCTAAATGTACTCCAATAGGAGCAAACCGACCAGCGAGCCCCTTGAATGCATATAAGGACGGTCCCTTCAGGAATACCTATATCAAACAAAATAATCATTGTGAAACACAGCCGTAAATGTAAGTTAATAAGACGACCATAGAGCAATGCTGGTAAGTTAAAAGCAGTTACGAGAGAGCCCTCATGGTGCTAAGATTCTATATTGATTTTATAGCTGAAAAACAGAGTTGCTACACACTTCCAATCAGCTTTACCGTGATAAATTTCCATGTTATATTACACCATACAACAAAAACTAATTCACGTATAATGAAGACATCATTTCCCGGTCAGTGAAGTGCTCTTTAACATCCTAGTTGAGCAGATGAGATCCAACAGTAGAAATCTAACCAGAACGAATATATAAAACTGCCCAGGCATAGTTTAAGTACATTATAAACAAGGTTACTGATAAGAACCAGACGCTGCTGGTCTATAGTAGGAGGAAGAAACGCCAGTAATTATTGCTGACGTGGATATAGTTTGTTGAAGAGTCTTGTTGAGGAAGTTTTAGGATAACTGAATTGGGTTAGTGTTAGTAAGGGAGCCTATAAATAAGAGAGGGAGGCTGAGAAGTTAGTTAGAGAGAATTCTGTAGAAATTGAGTTGTGTAAGAGAGTGGGTGATCTCTCGAACATCACCTGTGTACGATTTCCATTGCTGATTCGAATACACTTTCCATCATTTGTTCCGTTCATTGAACGGGCCCAAGTGGGGCGGTTTCTAAGACACAAACCGACTGGGGAAAGGGCTGGACCGAATGGGGAGAGGACTGGAATTTTTAGGGATTATTATGGGCCACAAAAATCTGCGGTGGGGGAAAGTTTTGTGAGTGGTTCCAGCTGGACACCACCGAAATTTTCAGGAGACACTAATGGGATGTTTGGAATGTTTGGAAGGGGGATTCGTGCCATGATTCGAATCATGGTTCGTGACTCGCTACAGTATTTTCTCTCATTAAAAACATACGTAAAACGAGAATGGTTATGAATGCATGAACCAAATGTCCAGTAAGGGATTTTCAGAGGTGACAAATATTAGCTCTCCTCGGTCCAACACGTCAGTCAACAAGGAACAACCTAATGTTCCACTTCCACCCATTCGGTGCAGTGAAGGTTTCAGACAATAAATTTTTGATGCTGAGATGCAAAGGAGAGAATGGGGTTTATGCTTCCAGTGTGAGGAGAAATGGCGGTTCGGCCACGTCTGTAAGAACCCCCAACTACAGGTTCTCCTCTTAGCGGTGGATGAAGATGATGGGGCTGGAGCTGATGTTATAGTTGAGGAAGCACCGGGGGGCCAAACGGCGGAGCAAAGAGAGGTCACTTGAACCTTGAGGACAAGGTTCTTGTGAATGGGGGGTAATGATAAGAACCAGACGCTGCTAGTCTATAGTAGGAGGAAGAAACGCCAAAAATTAGCGTTGACGTAGATATAGTTTGTTGAAGAGTCTTGTTGAGGAAGTTTTAGGATAATTGAATTGGGTTAGTGTTAGTAAGGGAGCCTATAAATAAGAGAGGGAGGCTGAGAAGTTAGTTAGAGAGAATTCTGTAGAAATTGAGTTGTGTAGGAGAGTGGGTGATCTCTCGAACATCACCTAATAAACTTTCCATCATTTGTTCCGTTCATTGCTAAACCGTTGAGGTTTCCATCAGTTACCAGGTCAGCTTATACATAGAATAGGTATTAAGGTATCAAACATGAAACTTAAAGCAATTAAATTTCACAAAAAATGGAAGAAAAGACCACTAACTAAATAAAAATCAAATAGGAAATCAGAAGGATCAAGAAAAGGAGTTGCGATAGTACTAACCTCGTATCCCGATCCCATTAGAATAACGCCTAAATCTTGCACTGATGCTCTTGGGAGAGTATCAGAAAATTCCTGCTTGAGGATGGCCTCCGCAGAATGCAGAAAATTCCATCTGATTTTACGCGCAAACCCCTTGGTTAATCAAAAAGTCACCCAACTAATTTCAAGCCATAAACGTTTGGGTGAAGATAACCATGTGAAAGGAAATCAAACCTTCTAGCAACTTTGACAAGTGGTATCTGTGTCGTGTAAGTGCATGCCATGAGTGATGTACCAAGCAGAGCAAGAGTTCCAAGGAAAATGGGAGAGGAATACACGTGATCAAACCCAAGAGTGAGAACCCATCTCCAAGTGAAGAATCCCAAAAATGGATTCTCTTCCGGGTATTTCTGGAAATAGAAATCCGGGGCCTCGCCTTGGTCAATGATGGTTCCTGCAGAAGCATTTAAAGCACACAAGGCCTACTTACTTTAAAACACAGTATATAAGGTCTTGCAGAAATGGTACATAATCACATGAAGTTTATAAATGGAGCTAAAAGAGCTGGAAAATTAGAGAATTTGTTATAATCTAATTATTTCAAGTGTCAACAAGAGATTTGGACAAATCAAAGCAAATAAATTAAGTCTACTTCCTCAGCTTCCGAGCTCAACAGTGCAAAACCCGAATCACAAATTCTAAACCACAAAGCATCACAGCTATGAAATGAGGATAAGAGCCCAAACGCAGAACATAACAAGAGGCTGCCATGAGAGCAAGAACAAATGGCATATATTCTCATAACCTCTTTGAATTTTATCAGCACATGAAATTCCCAAATGAAGCCAAAAGAAGCTTGAAAATAAGTGCATTAGCGATGAAATAGTTCTCTAAAATATCTACATAAAGGGCTAGTCTCTTCACAACTGATAAACCCCACGAAATATAGAGAATAAGAAAACAGAATGCGAATCCTAACACTTCTACTTATATATATTATTTTTAAAAGTTCACATATTATATAATAAGCCAACAATTATCAAACGATTTAAAAGACTATTTTAGTAATTACATTGTTAACATTTATATTTCTAAATTTAGTAAACACCAGAAAGAGTCATTAAAATTCCTTTTACTTTGCCTTTCAAACTCGTTACATTTCTCATTACATTTAGGAATATTCCCCACCCAAAATCAAGATAAACCAAAGTGAATTAAGCACATTTCTCAGACTCCAAGCTTAACACCACAAAACCCAAATCACAAAAAATCTCAAAAACCACATATCATTATCCACAATTCAACAAAAACTCACAGTAACATACCAAGAGCCATAAGAGCAGCAACAGTGAACATCTCTCCAATAGCCAGGGGCAGATTAGACAAAATCGCCAAAACCTTTCTTGGCAATCTCTTGACCATCCCCATCACTCCTCCTCCACTCCTGTCATTCCCAGAACTCCCCACAACAGCTTCCTCATTTCCGCCCTCCTCCGCGAGCGGCGGCGGAGCGCCTTCGGAGAGCAGAATCTTCTTGCTTATGCTAGTCTGGCTCTTCCTGTTATCTTGGGGGCTCTTAAGCTTACAAGTGGTGGTAAATGAGAAAGGTCTCTTACTATGAGAGAAGAATATGGATTTGGAGATGTTGCGGTGAGAAAGAGAAGGTTTGACGAAAAGGGGTTTGTGGAAAGATAGTTTGGAAGTTATGGTGGGGTTTAGAGACTCCATTGATGAGGATTTTGGAGCTTTGGTCGGTCTTCGTATCTTCCCTGTTTGCAGAACAGGATGTAACGACCGTATAGGTTGTTGGTTTATCCTTTTAATTATTTCCCACGCTTTTGCATAATAATGCCACGTCGGCAAAAGAAAATTGAGATCGCTAACCAAAGAGTTAGATTTCACTTGAAAAAAAAAAGGGGTTAATTCGACTAATGGTTCACGAGGTTTACACTTATTTTACTTTAGTTTTTAACTTTTTAAACATTATATAAATGATTTTTGAGATTTTATTTCGTTTTAATTACAGTCTTTTCATAGGCATTAAATTTTAATAAAATTTGTGTAAATAAGAGTCTAAAATTAAAAATCGCTCAAATTTTAGATCTATTTGTAAAAATTAACTTTTAGTTTTTTTATATTATTTTAGTTTCTAAACTTTATGAGCTTGTTCTTTTAGAGTTTAACTTGAGGATAATTCTTGAGTTATAACTTGAGTTGAACTTGTAACTTGAGTTTGTGTTTGATTGTGTACATTTGAGTTATAGTTTGAGATAAGAATCTTTTTGAGTTTGTGTTTGAGTGAGTCAAAACTTAAATTTGTATTTAGATAACATTTTAATAAAACTCAACGCTGATGAAAATTTTTAATAGGGTATATGGGTCGGGTTTCATTCGTTTTTTCGTTGTCAACGCATAGAAAAAAAAATCTACTCAATCAGAATTAAAACGAAAAAGTTATAACATTTTTAAGAATAAAAAAAAACTATTCATTAATTGGAGTTCGAGTTTCTGAACTCGAGTTGAAGGGGAAACTTGAACTCGAGTTTTAGTCCTAAACTCGAGTTTAAACTCGAGTTTACACTTAAAAGAACATGAACTCGAATAAAATTGTAACTCGAGTTGCATTTTTTTGAGTTTTTCACTCAAAAGAATAAGCCCTATATGTTTTTAATTTTAGCCTATAATTTCTACAGATTTCGTCAAATAATTAACACAAAATTAACAGAAGAACTGAAACTGAAACATAAAAAATCTCAAATACTAATTATGTGACGTTTGAAAAGTCAAGTATTAAAGTGAAATTGAGGCTAAACCTAGAGACCCCATTTATAAGATTAACTAAAAAAAAAAAAAAATTAAAGAACTTTCTTTAATAAAGCCTTTCTACTAGAGTCAATTTCCGACCGTAATATTTGATCAAAATTACATCACTGACACAGAATTGAAAGTTAAAATAGAAAACTATTAGTAGTAAATTTCCTAAAATAAAATAAATGAGTAAATTTTTTTTTTTTTTCAAACACTATTCTCAACTTGAGCCGAGACTCAATATAGTGCAAATAACTCACACGCCCACAAAATCAATTGGGTAAGTTAAAAATGCACTTATTTAACGAAACATACTAATTTTTAGGTTTTTTATTTTTTTATTTATTGATGAAGGTTGAATATAATAATCGGATCTCAAACCTTTAATTCTGAAAAATAGGAACTTCAAGTTGAAAATATGTTGTAATCATGGTACAATAACTAGCAGACGTCGATTAACAAACAGAATGTCCAATAATATTTGCACAAAGTGCAACCAAAGAGTTCAATGGTTGACAAGTTGAACCATGAGTCCATGACCTTCTTAATTTTAGCACTTAGAACCGATAATTTCCGTTTATTAACTAATGTTTGTTATTGATCAGATAATACTACTAAAGATTGTCAAATTCAGAGACTTTATATTTGAAAGTTAAAAGTTTGACGTTCAACTTTCAAATGACCAAGTTTAAATCCACCTTTAAATATGAAAAACTAGGACTTGTGTATAACATCCGGTTAAATTAATTGAGATTAATTAATCAAATTCGGTGGTTAATATTAATTAATATGAAATTAGTGAAAGATTTTCAGTTATAATTATCATGTAAATGACATTTCTTCTTTAAAAAAGATTGTTTTGAAATTAACACTACTATCCCCCGAACAGTTTTAAAGTGTTAGTAACTAATTTTTTAGAACATAAATAATGAGTCATTCCATACTCTATTTAAATTGGACTTTAAAGTCTAATTATTAAATTTGCACAGAAAACCCAAGCCTATTTTTTTTTTCATTTTTCTTTCTTTTTCTCCTTTTTCTCTCTTTCTCTCTCTTCCATCGTCACTCTATCTTTCCCTTTCTCTCTCCACGCCGGCCAAACACCCCGATGAGAATTCCGGTGTCCGTTTTTTACACCTCCTAGCTCATTGTAAAGATCTCGACGAGTTGAGCACGTTGACATGTCGCACGACCACCAACTCTGCCGGAATCAGCCACAATCACCGGCCGAAGTTTCGAAAACAACCAAAGCTTCCGATCGGGATATCTCCTCCGTCCGACATCCAATCAAGGTGATTCTAGTTCCTATGAATTCAGAGCGAAGAGACGAAGAAAATCCTTTCTTTTTCACAACTCATTTTTGGCCGGAACACCACCATCCATGGTGGCCGGAGTTCCTGCCACCGCCGTTCACCTCCTTCCCGGCCGTCATTTTTGACACCGCCAGTGTCAATGGACTCAGAGAAGAACACTGAGAAAACCCCCTATGCCAATTTCACGGTCCTGCTGCAGTTTGCCAGAAAACGGAGCCGCCGCCGCCGTTCGAGGAGATAAGGGATAGTTCCAACGAACTAACCGTTAGATCGTCGTCATTTTGGTGTCAAAATACTCAGAAAGAAGTGTGTAACAAAAGGCCTTAACAAATTTTGAGGTCCCATAGCAGGAGAATTAAGATCAGAGTCGCCAGATTTTGCCAGTGTTTTTGGGTTTGATCGGAGTAGATAGATGCCGAATTGGGTGACATTGACTGCACCATTGAACTCAGAAGGGTCAATTTAGGGGGGGTAGGACCCAAGTTCGCCGTGAAAATATGCTCCGGCACCTCCGCCGCTGCTAGTGGCCGGATTCTGGCGAGTCTCAGTTCTTGAGGTTCCCGACGTCCGATCGAAGATCTGAGACCATATCTTGAGTCATTTTGATGTGCTGAACGCAACGATGACCTTTGTTTGTGCCAATTCAATCCGTTGAAAAGTTAGTATTGTGCACGCAGATCGAGGTGAATCAAATGGATTCGTTGAGGTTCAGAGCGAGCCGTGGAGCTTCAAGAATAGACGGTTGGACAACGTGAAGTTAGTTGTAGACTAAATTGTCAAAAGGTAGGATATTCTTGTTCATATTCTTAATAGCCATGATTTCAATGATTCTGGTCTATGAAAATATTTTAAAAAGAAAACATGTTAAAAGAAAAATAATTTTGAGGAAATAGCATGACTTATGTTATCTAACTCTCATTGTATTAAATGGGGTTTTAAGAGATATTTATATGAATATTTTTTTAAAATGAGATATTTTAAGAAATGATAAAATGCATGATGGCCACAGATATCGGGATATGGGAATCGTATCCTTAGGGGCAGGTCTCGAAACCCGTACGGGTCACTTCTTGCTCAGTGGTGATATTATGGCTTTGCAAATTTTCATTATTTAGGTATTTGCTACTATTATGTCAGTATTTCCTCTCTTTAAAGGATGATTGATTCTGAGTGTTTCTTTAGACCGTGAGTACTTTTAATTATTTTTATAAAATTATATCATACTAGGCTTTTCGCTAACTTTTCCTCTATTTTCAATGTTTTAACCCCTCCTTCCAGAGTTAGCGGTTTAGATTTATAACATGGCGAGTGGATGCCAATAGATTGAAGCCGCGAGATTCGAAGTGGTTAGTTTGTTTCGAATTTACAGTTTTTACTGTATTTCTGTATATAAACTGTATTGGTCGACATTGTCCCAGAGTTGTACTATTTTCTCTGAACTTTATGGATTGTTTTAAATATTGTTTGTAAAAGAAAGACTCCAGAATAATATATTTTAATATCTATTTTGGTATTTGTACATTTTATTTTATTTTCACAGATTTTTCTTAACTAATTTAATTTAATTAAGTTAAATATTAAATTAAACCCCAATAATCGCGACCCTATCCTTGGGTCGTGACATTGTGTTGCATCAACATAAATTATAGGCATATAGATCATGTGTTGTCCATGTCCCAATTAAGGGAGAGTAAAGTACACATTTTAGTGGCTTTTAGGCGCAATTAACTTATTGAAAAATGGTTTCATATAATGTTACTGTTGGTTTCCGAATTGAATTCAGATACGGAAGCATGAGGACAGTGGATCGTGTAACAAAAATTTTCACAAAACCTTTGAGATACTCTATAAATTATATTAATTTATGAACGAATAAATTAATCACATTAATTTATTTTATAAGAACTCAATTATGAATTATACCTAGCAGCCGATTAGGATGATCGCTTGAGTTCTTTGACCATGAACAATCCTTGCTCAAAAGCCTTGTGTTTAGAAAACCAATATCTTCCACGTCAATTCCTAGAATCCACGAACACGTGTGTGTGGGCACATCTAAGACAAAACATGTTAAAATAAACACTCAAATTTCCACAAATACCAACGCATGCACGATGTGAAATTTTTAGAGAAAAAATTTTCCTTCCCACACTAAGAATTTCGGCCACACTAAAAGTAATAGGTCAAAAATTGTGTCTCACAATTTTCTACTACCTCCTTATTTATAGAATAGTAGTTAGACTCCTAGAAGAAGTCTCATCTTTATCTTTAAGATAAAGCTTATCAATTATCTCCCATTTGAATTTGGAACAAAGTCTCCCTTCCTTTATCCACTAATGGCCGGCCATGGATAGGGAATTTTATCTGTGTGTAGGCGCCAATATCAGATAGGGAAGGAATAAAAAATCATCATTTATCCTACAGTCCAATTTTGACTCAAATTCAAAATCCAATTTAAGTCAAACTTAAATTAACTTGAATTTTAAATTGAACAACTTATCAAATAAGTTTAAATGGATAATTCTAGATGTGTTCACACTATGTGTTCACACTGTGTGTTCACACTAAGCATTGCGTTCACACTATGTGAACAACTTCACATAAGTGATCTAAAATTTAAATTTAAATTTAAATAATCACATTATTTAAATGATAATAAATTCTCAAT